CCCCCTCCGCTCCCCTCCTTCCCCCTTCCTAGCTGGATCAGGGATCCGTCTTGCTGTAGACCACATGAATGTTTTTGCTGCCACAGGTGAGAGCTAGAACAAGTGGCTAAAGGGATGTGGGTGGAGGCAGCCAGTTGTCCTGTCTGGAGTGGTTCTTTCACCATGGTCTTGGTCTGGGTTGTTTTGTATTCTTAGTGAAATGCCTAATTTCTTTCTAGCAAACTTTTACTAATTTTTGTTTCACTAGTACATGTAACAAAATGGAGTAATCAAATAGCTATGCTCCTTTCTTACATTGCAAGATGTGTTTATATGTACTTTATTTGAAAACTGAGACCTATTCGTCGTGAGTAAACAGACCTCTGTTCTGGATCACCTGAAGCATCCGAGTAATCAGACCTGCGTGTAAAGAGCATTACGATAATCCAGTTTAGAGGTAACTAAACCAGTAATGTAGACTGTGGCAGGTTAGATGAGAATCTGATTAACTTTACTTTCCCAGGTAAACCAGCCTCAAACACATTTAAAGCACTTCACTGCTAGCACTCTTTAAGTCTTCACAATCAAGAGAAAGAGAGGGACCCTTCTGAAAGTGATTCAGCCCCACTGTAAGATCTGAAATGACCATCTCGCTCACTGGGCAGTATAAAAGGAACTGTGTACAGTTACCATATTGCTTAACCTGGTGCATCAGTGAGGTGAGATGGAGACCTTGTATATAGAGTACAAAGGAAACAGGAGAGTGTTTTTGGGCAAGGTTAAAGAGGCCATTTGAACTTAAACAGAAGTGGTTTAAAAACAAAGTCCAGTCCAAATGAGGTCCATAGCAAAGACTGGGGAAATTGGAGATTAAGAAGGCAAAGAGATGTAGGCAAAAGTCAGTTGTAGTAAATAAAGCTAGGGAAACAAAAACAGTCTCTGTGGCTATCAAAAGCAAAGGCATTTGAATTTTGCTATCTGTATCGAATGTAAAAAGAACAAGCTAAGGAGGGCTAGGGCATTTATAGAGGAGATAAATGACCTGTGATGGAAGGTATCAATTCACATGGCAAAACATAAATTAAATGAGTCATAACCAAGTAGCCTTACTGTTAACCATTAATGATGCTTACTCCCTTGCTGTAATAAGAGCATAAAATACCCCCCAAATAACCCTGGGAATTGCCTGTATATGCTAAGAAAGAATACAGGGCGACAGATTTCAGGAGATGTAGTTTGAACCTTAAATAGTTCATTTCATCAGAGTTCTTTATCAGAGGCTATAAAGGAAAGTTAGTGGTGGTATGAGAATTAGATGAGGGACAAGAAATGCAGCGTAGGAAGAAGGGTGAATTTTCTCTGTGATGTGGTTAATGTCATCTGGAATTCAGTGCCTAATTAGGAAATGAATCTATAAACTTTTCAGATGATGCAGTTTACTTAGAAGTTTCTAAGTTTCTGAGATTTTAATTGCTATAAGACTGGTTTAAATTTAAAAACTGAAAGCTAATTAAAGGATACGAAGAAAGGGCAGGGCTTAATGGTCGCTGTTCAGGATGGACAGGAATCTGGGGAGTAATATCTCTCTCCCAGTTTCCCCCCTGCCCCAAGAGTTCTGTGTGCGTGATCAGTTTTACTCAGCATTGCCGTTGCTGTCATGGTGTAAGAAATGCACACAGTAATTTGCAAGTTTTTGAGTGGTACTGAGCCATCTCAAGTAATGATACTGGTGCTGAAGATTTCCAGAAGGACTTCTTATGAGCTTCAATATAGCTGTACGTATGGTTATTCATCTGGGTGGTTGGGAGTAATCAAATTGTGATTGCATGAAACTGAATTCAGAGCTGGCAGTTGCAACATGGAGACAGTGATTTCGGAGGGCTGTCGGTGCTAATTCTGAGATCTTTCCTGTTTGCAGCAGCAACCAAAAAAACCACCAATGTTATGCATCATCAGGGTGTTGAGAACAAGATAGAGGGTGTTGCTGTATGGCCCTGGAAGCCTTTGGGCACTCACGTTTGGAGTACTGCATGCGGTTTTGGTCTCCTCATCTTTAGGAGTATATGTAATGGAGTTGCAGAAGATACAGAAGAGGTCTACTAAAAAGAGTTAGGGAACTGAGCAGCTCTCTTGCAAGGAGACACTCAAAAGGCTGGAATGTTTCAATCCGGGAATGCAAAGGCTGAAAGGGGAATGGATGTCTGTTTACAGAAGTGGGAAACTTGGTCCTGTGGGGAATTGTGGAAGCAGTTAGTATCAGCAGGTTTAAAAAGAGGTTAAACAAATGCATGCACAGCTGAGCCATGACCAAATGCTAGAGGGAATGGACTTTAATGTCCCTACAACAACAGTTAGGGATGCTGGGAAGGCATAAAAGGTATGCATGGCAGGCTTATATCATCTCCCTAGGTAACACTTGCTGTTGCCAGTGATTAAGGTAGTGTTAGATGGACCATTGGTCAGACCTAGAGGGGCAGTTTTTCTGTTCCAGTTATGAGCATGAGGAAGAACATTCTTAAAATGAGCAAGAAAAGGATGGAAGACAATATTGAAGCATACTGAGTATTCCTTCCTTGGAATGTTGTGGTTCTGTACATTTTGTCAACAAGCGTTTTACTAGAAATGTGACAGTTACTTCAGAATTACTGATATGCTGCTTAGCTGTGGCAATGATGAGGAAGGTCAGCTACGACTTGGAAAATGTTGCACAGAACATGCTCTGCTAAACCAGCTATTCAGAAGCACCGAGTCTCCTTTTTAAAGGACTTACGAAGAAGCTTTCAAACTCTAGCTCGTAAGTGACTTGGAGGATCAAATTTAGTTCAGGTGAATAAAAAGATTTGAAAAGGAAAATGAGTTTATTGACACATGAAAGTTTACTGTTTTGCATACTGTAACCGTTGTCCTTCATTATACCTTCAGGTTTGTTTTATTCAGTCTCATGCATGTTAACTTAATTACCTTATGTAGAATATTGCTCATCGGTGTGTGGCATGAAGCAGAAAGCTGATTTCCAGACACCAGGTTCTTGGACATTAATTGAATTACGATGTTAAATTACTGTTCAAGGGGAAAAAAACCAAGGCAGGCATAGCATGGTGCCCTAGTTCATTACATGATTTTGCTAGTCTTTTCTAAATGTATTAAAAACACCTTAAATATTCTTTGATTTGTCTCAAATACAAAGGGGGGAAATTTGGATTGTCCTGGTTAAATCTTCACCAACTTGTTTTAGTTAACTGGAAATGGGTTGCTGAGTTTATGTTAGGTGCCAGAGTTCAGCCAACCTGAATGTACATGTTTGTATCTCTAAAGCAGGCATATAGCTGCAGGAAATAAAATCCTGTGCTAATAAATGTAATAGTTATCTCATGATCACTTTAACATTTCAAACTAAAGGGATAACAGTAAGTGAAGGTAAGTGGAGGTGGGTAGAATTACAGTGTTGGTTTGTAATGTCTGTGCACGCAACTTTATTTTTGAATGGCTAGTTTTTAGCCTTATGGCTTCTGATAACTGCAGTGATACTAAAGGTGATTTTTCTCTTTAGTTTTCGAATTTCCATTCAGAGTATGTGAGGTCTAGCCAACCATGAAGTGTTTGTGGAGAAAAAAACCTCCCAGACTAAAAAAACTGTTTCCATTATAGTAGAAATAGTTTTGGAAATTATAGTTTCTTTGGTAATGCCATTAAGTCATCATCTGAATTTGAAATTAGTTGAAGTTAAATATGCATTGTGAAAATATACCTCAGTTCTGAAAGCTAGCTGTGAGAGCTTGCTTAAACATTCTCATTTAGTGTTGCTCATTGTACATCTGTGTCGTTTTGAAGGTGTTATCTTCATGGGACTATGCTATCAGAGCAAAAATCTCTTGAAATATAACCGTTCCAATTGAGGCTTTTATACTGTGATAGTACTGGCAGTGTTTCAGACCTCACAGGGCTCAATGAGGTTTAGTGTATTAAAAAAAGGAGACGTTTTCTGAATTAGCAGGTTATGAGAATTCTGAATCTAAATAAATGGCCTTTTCTTCTTTTCACATTTGTTCTGTTTTTGTGCAGGTCCTCATGCTGAAACCGCCAGTGGATGCCAGAATTTGCAGTGTGGTTTTCGGGCCTGCTGCCGCTCTGGCGAATGACTGCTGACTTCTCATCTTTCAGTCTACTTCATTTAGCTGAGCAGGCTTCCTTTCATGCACTTTACTTACAGTTCGCATCTTGTGTTAACAATCCTTGGAGTGAGATTTGTTAAACTAGCCTGACCCTGCCCACAACTTCAAAATCTTAATTATGAGTGTACTGTACAGTGTTGTAACAATCTCACAATCTCATTTGGTTTGAAGGGTGTTGGGTTTTGTTTTACTTAATTTGGGGAAGATGGGAAAACATTCAGATTTTTTTTTTTAATGCCACTTTCTTCCAAGTTTGGCACTTAAATATATTTTACTGGATTATTTTGTGTTAAGTGAATGGTTTTTTATTTTGAATCCGTAAGTACAATATAAAGCTCTGCAGATAATTTGAAATGTATTGTTTGCATTTGGGTAACAATTATACATCTTTAGGAGCCTTGTTTCTTCCCCTTTCCTCTCATCCTGAAGTTGTTCTTTATATTGCAAAATTAGGGAAATTCCGACCTTCCTTTTGCATTTGGTTTTGTATTTGGGCTTGAAAGACATACTCCAAATAAAACATTCCCACCATTAAAAAAATGTATGTAGCAGTTGAATATATGTGCTTTTAAGGTGTAATATCCAGGCGTACCATGCGAGTAGGCTGCAGAAATTGAGTGGGCGGGTGTTGTGGTGGTTGCAGAACTGTGAACCTTGCAATGTGTGTGTGGGGGTGGTCGTGTTTTGGTTTGGTTTGTTCCTATGACTTTGTTTAAGATGCATTTTTGAAACAACCTCCAAGGAAGTCAGTTTTCATTAATATGAAATATGTGGAAGACAATACATTTTCCCCATTGCTTTGATTTTTTTTAAAAAGATCCCTCATTGAACAGTAGAGACTAGGAGGGAAGCAGAGAATCCATTGTTGGGCTGAGTGAAACCTGTGCTACGAAGAGAGATGAGTAATGTATGAGTAGTGCATGAGTGTGTGGGGCAGTATGGGGAAGAGCCCGTTGCAAGAGGAAGTGCATACTGTGGCCCATGTTAAGTTGCAAACTTCAATGGCCACCTGCTCCTGAGTGGCTATCATTGCAAGTTGTTTTTCTCTTGGGCAGAGGATGGGTAGGTGGCAGCCTTTGTATGAAGGCAGACAAGTTTTTTTTTTTTTCCCCCATCCTGCCTAATTTTGAAGGCTGACAATATGTAAAACTAGTAACTTTTACCTGTTTTACTAATTGGATAAATTTTGAGTAGTATTTATTTAGGACAGTAGTCATGGTGACATATGTAGCTTTCAAGATTCTTCATGTCTGGGAAGTCAACTTGCAGGTGTAGCTGGAGATTACAATAAACTGCAAGTCTTCATACCACCTTGCTCCCACTAACACTGAAGAGTAGTAAGGTAAGAAAAACCCTAGTGAATGTGGAGTTGGTGCAGAGTTGGGTGTTCATGGTTCACAGCTGAGCATGGGCTAGAGGCAGAATGTATAGTGTTCAGTTAGAAGCCTCCAGAAGAGGCAGGAAAGGATACCACTGTTCCAGCAACTGTTGCTTCAAGTAAGCTCCATGAAATTTACTTTGGTGCCCAAAGGTTAGAGTAGGTACATGGCCATTTGTGCAATGCTGACTGAGGCAAGATGATAGTAAGGAGGTACGTGGTGGGCTTTTTTTCGTCTGTCCTTGTTCCAGAACTCTGGTTTCTGAGGCTGGGAAGGTGCAGCTAGAGGTCCTTCTCCTCCTTGCTGCTAGGGGGTGGTCTCTGTGCAGATTGGTAGACACACAGCTGAGGACTGAATCAGCTGTAGAGAATTCTGTTCGCTTACTTACACTGTGTTGCTGTTTCACCCTGCTCTGAAGGGGAGTTGGACTGAACTTGGGAGATGTCATCAGTGTTCAGCAAAGCATCACGTGATGACAGTGTAGCCCCTCCGCCCTGCTGGAGGTTTACAGAGGGGAACCTGTGGTGGCAACCCCAGGGCTCTAAACCAAAGATTTTGTGTCTAATCTTTATTAGATAGACTGAATCTAGTTTGGAGTTAAGCTTAAGAACACTCTCAACTTGGATATGAACATTCTTCCAAAGCTCAACCCACCATCCTTTTCATTTGGAAGAGTTTTTGATTAGCAAGGTAAGTGCAGGAGAAGGATATATACTTGTATCAGTATTAACAGTTAACACCACTAGTTACATACTAATAAATGCATTTAATTTTTAGTAAACTATTCTTTTGATAATCTCTTACTCGAGTAACTTGCAGATAAGGATTTCATACCCAAAAGTAATTTAATCAAATTCTTGTATAAAATGGATGAGCTTCCACTTAGGTTTTGGTATAAATATTTATTAAATACTTTTAACTTCTAAAGAAAATGTCATTATACAGTTCTAAGTGGTGCTGGCATTATACAGACGCCAAGTATGGAGTAGCAGATGAAGCAGCCTCTTAAAATCTGAAGTGTGGCCTTCACTGATGGCTCTTTGGTGCATGAAATTTATTCATGGGTAAATAGTCTCGATCTTCATGCAGGAACTCAGGTACTGGAAAACTGTAACTATTTCTATTTGCCAGTGTCTTTAAAGAGGAAGAAAGTCTGTAGATAAACTGTCTAGCTAAAAACATAGTCTTCAAGGCATGATTCAAAGAACCAAGTTTCACCTGAAAATAAGGTGGCTAAACGCTACCATTTTACTCTGCAATGTCACTATCTGTAGGTATGTGTAATGCTTTTAAGAGTGTGATGCCCCACTGTGTAAAAATCACCTAGTAGTACTGGAATTTTAAGCTATCAGTCTCTTCCTTAGCTGTAATAAGTAGTATCTTCAGTGGCTGTGGGGTGAATAAAGCTCACTTGTTTGCAGCTACTAAAAATCAGGTTCTCATTTGATCTTTAAAATACTTGGGATAGATCAAAGCAGCAGTGTGAGAAATTTGTTATATTTACGCCTACTTAAGCAAATTTCTTGAGGTATTCTGACTGGTCTATACTACCTGTTTCGAACAAGTGAAGCAACATAAATCCATACAGAGAGAACATTTTGGGGATAAGCGTGAATATACACAGCTAGAGCAAATTCAACATTGGAAACATCAATGGTATGAACTCCTGTGCTGTGTACAGCTTCTACTAAAGGTCTGACTTCCGAAAATGGCATGTGGATAGGAAATCCAGAGACCTGGGAGAAAGAAAGAGGAAAAAAAACATGTAAAAAGAAAAGGTAAAGGCACCTGAATAAATACATAGTTTAAAACAGATTTTTTTAACTGTGCATGCACAGTTAATCTTTTCCATTGCTGGTCTGAGGAGATGCAATAAAAAAAGCCTGTTTTGTATTTTAATACCACCTCCCTATTTCATATACTCCAGGCAAGCTTCTGACATTTTTCTTCTTTGGGTTAAGTTTGAAGTGAAGATGTTTAGAAATCCACTAAAATAAAGTTACATTAATGAACACATACAGCATAACTTTGCTGCTTTTCTGCCTCTTAACTGGTTTTAATTCATATTGTTCTGTCTGCACTGGCTGGGGGTTTGAGGTGGCCAATGTCTCCCACCCATCATACATTTCAGGTCCAGCAGGAACTGAAACCTCAGCTCAGTTTGAAAATTGCCATAGCTGTGTAGAGTATTGTTACCACATGTCTTTTACATGAAGAGCAGAACGACCTAACGGTTAGAACAGTCTGGAGGAAGAATGCATGGGTACACTGGTGGCTGAAGAGCGAATACTTAAGTAAATTTTCTTCCACCTTTAAAAAGTGGAGCAAAGAGTAGAAAACTGAAGTAAAGCATGCTGTATGGGCTCCTGCACCTTAAGCAGACTGTGTGTAGCACTACTCAGCACCAGTGTGGGGTTTGTACTGACCAGACTTGAGAGTTAATGTGCCAGTCAACCCATAAGCATCCAGTGCTAGGAGACTGCACTTGTATTTATGTACTGGAGGTAGTGACTGTTGTGGTACAGCAATAATAGAAGAACAATAATATTCTTCTATATAGAGTATGTGTTCTTCATATAGAAGAACATCTACAAATTGCAATAAAATAGATCATTGCTCCTTCACTCTCTATTGCATTGGTTTACCTTTGGTATAAAAGCTCTGGTGATTTTTGGTAGTAGAGGAAATAAATAGCCTAGGACACTCTTCTCTACCATAGCACAGTGATACTAAAAGCTAGGGATTCTGGCTACTTCTATGCACGAGCCATATATGTTCACAGCTGTACCCTGTAATCTCCTAGCTGTTTTTGCAGCTCTGCCTGATGGTCGTCTTCTACATCTTTGCCTTGGTTTTGTTCCAGCAGTGGGAGAAAGTTACGTAGGGTAGCAGTACAGTGTCTGTTCCAACGAGTTAGGTGCCTTGGTCTCCATTCCATAATCTTCTCCTTTAATAGCTTTTCAATCCTGCAATAAAATAGACTGATTATTACAATTCTAGTACGTACTGGACATCTGATCTCCCTTGGCACACCAAGTATAGATTATGGGGAAGACAGGTGACGTCAGTTAAATTTACCACTACCTAAAAGCACATAAAAGCAATGCCAACATAGCTATATGGTGCCTGCCTGTTCAGTAACAGAATGGGAGGCCAGGGGCTTACAACCCTTTTTAGTTTACACCCTGTGAACTACAGCTTCTGATGTTTGGGGGTTTTTTTAGGCCATTCTCAATTCCTAGCATTCAAAGCAGGTTTTTAGGACCTAGGTATGAATATGCTCTAGTGACAGCACTGACAGCATTTGTTTTGGTGGTAGAATTACCTGCTCTGTAGTTCCACTGCAGCAGCCTTGTCCGAATGCTGATAAACCAATTCTTCAGGCTAGCAGTAAATAAAACAAATATTAAAATGTGCCATCTCTTCTAGGTATACTACAGTGTAACTTTAGGAGTTACTGCCTTGATGGTAGTCACATGAGTTCACAATTATGCTAAAATCTATTATTTATTAGAGACGTGATTAACAACATCAACTACATGTTTGTGTGCCATG